GGGGGGAGGGGTACGACATTTGCTTTGTCTTCTGTCGTGCTGTATTTAGCCTGGTAGCTTAAAAATAGACTTTCTGGAATCCCACTATGTGGAGTTCATTAGCCTACCCTTCGTCTGGAAGTCCGTGACTTTTGCTGATTTCATGGGTGTTTGATAACTCCTATTTCTTTTTTCCCCTCTGTTGTCTGTTTGTCTTTTTTCCCCAAGTGTTTTACGACTCTCGCAACTGCACAAGGTCATATAAGCGTGCGGGACACACCAAACATTTTCAGTTTGTAGGAATTTATTAATTTTGCACGGATTGCAGTCGAAGCCCTCTCTAATTCGATTTTGGACCACCAAAGGATCTTTAGTGAAAATTGTGAAATGGTTTAGGTTTAACACCCCTACCAACACTATTAGGTTATTTAAGGGGCGGGACTTCCGAGTTTAACGTCCATCTCCAAAAGGACCGAGTCAAAATGAAAAATTCGTGTAAAGTACCATTCCCAAAGACACAACGTCGGACCGAGCTGAGGCTCGAACCTCGGAAACCACAATCATGCGATTACGGGTCCGGTAGCCTAACCTCTAGGCCACCGACGTCACTGGGAAGGAATCTTTAACATGCACAGCTTGCACACGGGACCTCTAAGATTTTTCGTCCTTGTCCGAGAAGGCTAGGTGTAGATCTTACCTATCATAAGATCAAGCGTGTGGCTGAAAGACAGGAGTAAAAAGGAGCCAAGGAGGGTCAGTATAAAGGTTGCAGAAACAGTCAGGAGCCCAGAGGAAGGGGCAAAGGGAAGGGGAAAAGGGAGGGAGCAAATAAAGTGAGCGGGTTGGGGCAGAAAGTGGAGAAGAAAGTAAACGACAGAACATTGTTCGAGAGCAGGAAATGATGAGGAGAAAATTTTAGAGAAGAAATATTTCCGTCGCTATCCGGATTCGAACCCGAGACCTATTGAATGAGAGGGGAGCACATTAACCTCTAGACCACGAGAGCCCCCTTCTGTCTAACTTCCCCATCTGCTCCAAACGACCATTACTGTGTCGATGTAGTTCTCTTTGCTCAAAGAACCTAACAAACAAAACTATCGTTTTTGTTTTCAGGTCTTTTGATCCAAATTAGCTTATTTAAGTTGCAGTCGGCTCGACCCTGCCTAATTAGGGCCAATTGAGGGATGTGCCGGGTATCGCTCAATAGAGAAACGAATAAAGAAACCTCTTAAAATATTTGTGTTACGACGCCATGGAATCAGGTGCTCGTCAATTTTTGGGACACGTGGAGTTATTTGTATCTTTTTAAAGCCTGTTCATATATATTATCTTGCTTTTGATGAAAGAAATACCCGTCTATCTTGACTAGAAGTAGGTTTAATTTCGATTGAAGGAGGTGAGGGTCGCTTAGAATAGGAGGTAAAATTAATAAGAAATGGCAGCCAAAGTTTGGTTACTTCCAAACCTGCAGTGTCCTTGAAAACTGAAAATATTTATTTGTATGCCTTTAATCAACGTTTTTAAGTATGATCCACGCAGAAATGTGTTTTTAAAATGGCCATTTATAAAAATCGATGTGAATTACCAAACCGGAGGGAAAATGCCGGTTTCTTCGATTTCATTATTTGGACCGGCATATGATTTCACCATGATGCCTCATATTTGTATTTCCCATATCGGAATCCAACTCACGTGTGCTGTGTGCAAAGCCAGTTCATTACATCGACGAGAGGAACAATCACCAAAACGCCAGTGTGGAGAAACACACCTAACAGTGGAACACATCCTTCAACACTGCAAGATACACAGAGCCCTGGGACAGGAAACAGTCATGGTCAACCCCACTGACGCCACAAGAGAAGCTATACATACGGGCCGACAGATGAACTGAGCAGGAAGGCCCAATATATGACAGATACCGGACTTCAAGTGTGATGCGATCGAGAAGAAGAAGAAGAAGCTCGACGAGAAGGGTGTGGAACAAAGAGGAGAGAAACAAAAATCTTCAAACTTTACCATAGATTTATTTTTAGGAGCTGATTTGGCACAACGGCAAAAACGAAGCCTTTTTGTGTGTGTGTTTGGAGAAAGTCAAAGTTTCAAAGAGAGAGCTTAATGCTGAATCCACTAATGTAAAAAAATATAATTTACTCAAGTAGTTTTCAAGATACACTGATTATTACATTTTTGTGGGAGGTACCAGAAAAAAATATCAAGTATTTGAGAGACAAGAGTTTGAAGTTTTACATTTTTCTTCACGTTGATGCTGTGGCGACTTGCAATGGTGTGTTTTAGTGATAATTTGTAAATTCACGTATTTGTGTTTTACTATTTGTGCGTTGTTGTGCGCCATTGTGAAACAAACCTCTCAAAGGGATCAATGAAGTTGAATTTATATATTCATTCTTATTTTTTTACTTACAGTGCCATGAAAAAACAACGCAAATACTCTCCCATATACGAGGTAATATATTATGGGGGATTCGTGGGTGCTCTGTTGTGGCATGCTCCTTTTTTTCCTATCAAACATTATAATCCTTATCTCTCCTACTTTTTCTTTCGTGTTTCTCTCTTGTAATGCGTCTATTTTTCGGCACTGAAACTACTTAATTGTGTGGCTAGTGTTGTAAAACTCCCACAGATGCAAAGCCTCTTTGCTAAAAAGAGCGCGTTGTTCCCATCTGTCTCTCCCCTCCATCTCTATGGCCTACGCTTCTGCCTCGCAGTTCATAATTTTTTCCTCTTCTCTCTCTCTCCCTCCTGTCCTACCTCCCGTCGTCTGCCTGTGGTCGTGGCAGTGTTGTGTCGTTCTTCTTCCTGATCTGGACTCAAAACGGTAGATCTACGGGAAAAAAAAGAAAGCGAAAAGTGTAAGTGGACGTAACGTTTCTTTGTTGATAGTCTTTTTTTTTCAATCTCGTGGATTACGCCTCCCTGACATAGATCTGAGCCTGCGTGTTATAGCCTTGTTTGAGTGTCTCTGTCGTGTGCCAGTCTGCCAGTCTGCCAGTCTGCACAGTTTCCGTCGATAAACACCACGCAAGAAGGTAGGCCTAAGTCCAGTTCTTATACAATACCCTATTGATGTAGACTAGAGGAGAGGTTAGGCTACCAGTTAGCCTTCCAGCACACAAGGCATAGCTATCTGAGGTGTGTACTTTTTAGTTATACTTTACTCCTTTTGGGATTTTTATCATTTTTTAAAAAAGACCAACTATATTTGGTTTTTTTTCTCTTTTTTGTGCTATTGTGTTTTAATCAATTCTAAATGCACAATGCTCTTACTAGATCTAGATCTAGATCTACATTGCATTATCATTAATGCATTTTCTTTTTTTGTCAAGTTAATATGAAGAAACATTGAAACAACCACTTTTACACCAGAAAGCTGGCTTTTACAATCTTTGTAAGATAGGCCTATTTCATTGTTTCTGAAAATTAAAGGGACATTCACCAACCCCACCTCTCTTGTCTCAACGATTTGTTGTTGATGATAAAAGATGGGTAAAAGATAGATCTAGAGACTGCAAGAAGTTGGAGTGCAGGTTTGCATATTGTGTGCATTTCTGACATTGCCTTTATCTCGTCCAGAAGCTTATGTAAATTGAGGGGGATTATTTTTTACTTTTTTTCATCCCTGGCATTGGAGGCTCACGTGATTTTATCGTGATTGCCTTCACTAGCCAACTGATTATAGATCTGTTTTACAATCCCTCGGGTCCTATGCAATAGTGGAGTGGTTAGGGTCTACCTACTACCTAGCTGCTTTTCACATTTGTAATTATATCTACATTATAATATAAGAGTGCGATTTACGCGTGGGGATGTATATTGTTCTTACTTTCTATCTATGGATGTTCTCTGCCTTTCCTCTCAGCTTTACTTTGGCCTTGACAAACATGGCCGAAGCCGAAGCAGCCTACCTTCTAAATCAGTGTTTGCCAACCTGGGCCATATCAATGACTTGTGGGTGAAGTGTGTGTGTGTGTGTGTGTGTGTGTGTGTGTGTGTGTGTGTGTGTGTGTGTGTGTGTTAATTAATCCCTCGCTATGTAACACACTTGATGTGGGTGGCCAGTCCGAAAATGTTTGCCTCCTAGATGTAGCAAAAGTGGCCGCTGGCGGTTGACACACTCTGCTTTAAACGATCTAAACAGTGTTGATGGAGACTTAAAAGTTTGATAGTCATTACTATCAATAGATCATCAGTTTCTAAGGGCACATAGTGTTTCGACCAGTGAGGCTTTGTTATGCCTAGCACCATCATTCGTATAGTCCGTCTCTATACTATTAACAACATTATTTTGCGCATAAAAGTGAACTGAAGAAATGAGGATAAAGTACAGCCCAAACCTGCAGGGGCGGCCGCCTGTCCATGACAATCACCTGTACCACGGGCCACTTTCCTCACCCCCCCCCCCCCCCCCCCCCCCTCTTACTTTTTAAATATTATTCTCCTCCTCGACAACGGGTAGCCGTTTTGGACAATTTCAACTAGCCTACGCTACTCCGAACAGTGCGAGGTCCTATCCTGCAAAGCAGGGGGAAACGAACTGACATTTGACCTTTCTGTTGCAAATTCAATTCACCATATTGCAGGGACGCTCTCTTCCGTAGTCTCACTTTCCATTCACTGGTTCCTGTGCCTGGTACATAGTTTTGACAAACCACCGTCCTCGGGGTAATGATTCGGCTGTTTGTTTGCCGATGCACGCAGAAAATTCGAGTTCATTTCCCGTGTGGAGAGGATGTTTTTTCGGGTGCTCTGGTGCGGTTCCTTCTTTCCTTTAAGTTAACATCTATCGTCGTTTTCTTGCTCATTTCTTTTCTCTGTAAGTTAGCCTTCTCTCTTGTAACACTCTGATCGCGTGTGGTTGGAGGGGGCCACTGGTAGATCATACTTCTATACTTTCCCTCTCTTTTTTCTGTCTGCCTGTCTTAATTTTTCCCTAGCATTAAATAACCATTATTATGCTGATGTGCTTCTGTTTACTCAAACAAACAAACAAACCAACAAACGAACAAACAAAACACTATGATCTTCTGCATTCATAGGACTTATTTGTGTTGCAAGGGCTACAAAACGCTTTCTTACCCAAAAACCTAAACCAAAGCCAGTATATCTGCTGGGATATTGTATCCCACTCTGCTCGGGTGTGCCCTGACAGACATGGTTGGAATAACCAAGCCCCTTACATGACCTAAATTATGTCGCTGGAGACGTGAAGCATTAACAGTATTTTATAACCCATCCAACTTCTGCAGTCAACATGATGTATAACAGTTGGACTGCGACTAAAGACAGTCAAGGCTCGATATTTGTCTTTGATGTTCTGTAAGCAGGGAGGGGTTACCCAATCGACACCGGCTGTCGCGACTGGCATGGTAAGTACACGTGCCTCAGAATAACACACAGACCTTGACCAAGGCCTTATCTGACGCTAGAGGTCAGTTTTGTTGCTTGCGAGGGTGAAGACTGAGGTCAGTTCCTGGATCAACACCTGATTTGCAATTTGCATATTATGTCGCACGGTAGTAGTGATATTTAGTGTGTGGTTTACCGAGGATACATATAAAATATAACAATGAAACTGTGATGGACGTACCGATGTAAACCGCAGTTGGCACTATCCTCGCTGCCTGGAAATAAGGAATGTACATATGTGTGCGTTAGAATATTTGCTGTGCTATTGTTTAAACTGCTGTGACTTTAGTTTAAGTGAATTTTACGGCACGTGCAACACAATTTGGTCATATAAATGCCAAAAATTAGAAGTATTACTAGAGAATAACATGCAAAGTAAAGACGGAGGAGAGATAAGTACGACAGATGTTTGATAGGAAAATGGAGCAAACCACACCAGAGCTCCTGCCAACCACCCGTTTGTTGGCTTTAATCTATATTATTTTAATATAGTGTCACCACTTCCAACAAATATTGGTCATGTAAAAGGCAATGATCAAGCCTTGATGTCCGCCTATGTTATTGCTGAGACACTGTGATTATACTTTTGATTTGTTTGTAAAGCATTTACTCTCCAGTCGACACAAGTTCGCTTACTTTGAGAACGGACTGCTTCAACTCTTCATGCTAAGGCCAACTACGGACTGAAAATGATACAGATTCCCAACGCAAAGACGTTGTATAACATTATGATTAGCGGGTGCTCTGGTGTCGTTTGCTCCTCCTTTCCTATTAGTATTACACTTATTATGTTGTCCTTATCTCCTGCTTTTTGTTTGTCTTTATTACTCTCTTGTAACGCCTCTGATCTTTGGCACTTATATGACCTACTTGTGTTGCAAGTACCGTAAAACTCTTACTAAAACATAAAACAAAACAAAGACGTAGATACAGATCCGAAAGAATGAACTTCGCTGTACGAGAATTTACGCACGTCTTTGACCTTCAACGGCAAGAAGCTCTATTATTACAACACAGTTTCTATACGAATGAGTCAATTTCACAACCATGAGTTTGATGTAGCAAGCTTTCTTGCAGACTGGAGCACGGAACTTCTGATGCAAACTTATTCAACTTGTCTGGCCGACAGAATCGGGTCGGGGCATCAGGACCGTTATGACATAATAAAACAGTAGTTTGTCACCCACGGGTCTGAGGACAAGTTGTTGGCAATGAACATGAAAATAAGAGAAGCGAGGCTGATAACAGACGAACTTGGTCCAAAGACAAACTGTCAAAGACAATTATCTACAAAACGATCGCTTCCCACATCTTTCCTTGCGGTTAAAAAAATATATATCATAATTACACTATCCAAGAAAACTACCTGTCTAAGGTTCGAGCCTCAGCTCGGTCCGACATTGTGACCTTGGGAAATTCCCACTTATTGGCTTAGTCTTTTCGGAGATAAGCGTTAAACTCAGAGGTCACGCCTCTTAAATAACTTTATAGTGTTGGTAAAGGCGTTAAACCTATACCATTTCATCATTTTTACCTGTCTAAAGATAACCACTTTTCTCATCGACTGTGGGCTGTCGTCTTGGAAAAGGCACGACTGTAATTACATCGTGTTGTTGTGGAAGTGTAAGGCTTCTCGTATTTCCATTATCCACAACAAGACGGTCGACGGACTGTTTTGTCGCAGTGTGGTCTCTGTCTGTACTCTATTCAAACTGACGACCTCTTGGATAGAATCAGACACACGTCGGTCACGCACCGGCGTCTGGAGTTTAATGGTTGGAAAGTTTGTGCTATCAACTTTTACTGTCTTCCATCTTTCCGCTCTGATGCTATATGTTCCGTTCGTCTCAGCTCGGATTGCCCGTGACAGGCACTGTCGTTGTGGCCTGCCTCTTACATTGCGTTAATGTAAATCGTAAAGTAAAATATATTCGGTTAATCTGATTTCAGCATCTGTGTGATTTGA